ATGAAGTCTGGAAACCAGCGAAAGCAGCTCATCGGAGCAGTTATCATGAAAGTAGTTGTAAAAAAGACAGAGAGTGGAAACAGCACGTCTGTGAGAGAGCGACTGCAGACGAGATGCCAGATCCCGGCCAATTACATTGAATATCCCTCTTTGGATTTTATTAGTGACCTTGAGACAAATAGAAGGGGCTCCAGACCATATATGGCAGCAATACTCCATGCAAGGGTGAATGGTTGATTTGTAGATTTGATGGATCGACTCTGGCGAGAAAAATTTTCCTGGCGTGGCATTTCTTATTTTACAAATGTGTGTAATTTTGTTATGTTACTTAATTAGGCAGTTAAATTACAACAAAATATTTTCGAAATATTAAATAACTTTTCATCTGCTTCTTTAATTTTCCTAAATAATTTCGTTCAGTTAAAATGTCAGTTTATTATCGGGATAAATAATGTTATAATTAATGTTATGGAGTAGAAGCACAAATCATTTCTGAAAATCACATTAAACTGAAGTGGAAGAAATATACCGACTTTTGCTGTAGCCTCGTAATATAAGAAATATATTTAATAATATATCTTTACTTAACTATATCCAATAATAATCCATGTAATATTCACATATTAATATCATAATATAAAGTACAAATATGCACCTGTTCCTTAGTTTACATGTATAAGATGTCTAACTGTTTCTTTTTCAGTTGTTTATGGCTGTAGACGTTTACGCAACGAGTAAAAGCGTTATTAACCATACTTTTACTTTTTTTAACTTCTTTGTCTAGAAGATGAGATAAAGAGGGAAAGAGGTTAGTCTATTGTAATTTGGTACATAATACACGAGATACATGATAACATCATTGTTTTTTTTATATGTGAAAATTTAGGGGTTATACTATACGCGAGACAGCGCGTTACACAAGTATATAAGGTAATAATATAGGCAACGTCCTTTTTGTATGATGAATTTAAAAACTTCTATTTTCCTCTTTCTAAATTAATCTCATCATGAAGGTTGCTGTTGTCGCATATGTACGCCGTTGACCAAACTATATATACATTTACTGCAGTCGAAAAGCACAGTTGTATTTAAAATAATCATGATTTTGATAAAACTGATGTTTTATTTAATTATATCCAATAATAATGCTTGTAAAATTCACGTATTAGTATCGTATTATAAAATACAAACATAGCGAATATGCATCTTTTCTATTGTTTACGTTTATAAGATATTTAGCTGTTTCTCGTTCAATTATTCATGGCTGTAGGCGTTTACGCAAAGAGTATAGCGTTAATAATGATAATTTTATCATTCTCTTTTACACTTTTAATTTATTTGACTAGAGATAGAGAGAAATGAGTTAGTCTATTGTAATTTGGTCTCTCAAAAAAAAAAATTGCATGATGTACGAGATACGTGAAAATTTGTGGTCCCGAATTACACGAGTATAGTGATTTTCCAAGCATAGCTTAGATGTGGCATAAGGACAAAGGTATGGGGCAGCCAGTGAGCAACGAACTCAATACTCAGTCGTAATTATTCTAGTGAGACAAGCTTGCTAACCATTACACCACCCCAAGGTGCCCGCGCGTTATACGAGTATATAAGGTAAACTAGGAAACAATAGAAAAAAGATATGAAAATAAACGAATAAGCTAAATCTCAGGGATTTCTGCCATGCATCTATGATGGCCTGAATCAATTAAATGCGAGAACATTGTCTATTAATCGAACACACCTCTCTTTCTATTATTCCCCGAGCATTTCCTTTTGTATTGCGATCTGGAGACAAGGCAGACCGCGTCATTCTAAATGAAAAGTGATTTTATCATACTTTAATGGAATTTTCTTATTTTCTAATCAGTCTCTGGTTTATAGTTATATCAGTTGCCTAATATATCCGAACTGAAATATTTCAGACAACACACATTAAGCCAAACTATCTACGCTGGACTGAATTTAATTTCCTTGCAACGACACTTCATTTTCTTGTTTTTCCTTAAAAAAAAAAAAAAAACTCCACCTGTCTATTTTTCTACGGTTTGTGTTATACTATTTATATTATTCGGACTATTGTTCTCATCTTTGTTGCCATATTTATCACAACGTTTCGGCCGCTGTACGCTCCGGCCTTCTTCAGGTGGTTGGAATATCGAACTGAACCCTTTATTTAAACGTTGTGATAAATATGGCAACAAAGATGAGGACAATAGTCCGAATAATGTAAATAATACACATAATACTCAGAAATATAGACATGTTTGTGTTATGTCTAAGCTTAAATAAGTTAGATACATGCGTTCTGGATTGCAGTGTTGAGAGATCTTATTTCTCATTTATATATCCATCCTTTTCACCTTGTACAAATCGTTTTGTCTCTGATCTTTATTTTTCTATTTATTATGTAGCTTTGACTTTTACTTTGAGGAAGTACTGATGTTTTCTTCTTTCCTCATTGCATAGAACCTGTTGAAATCATCACCGTGTATGTTGGAACTTATACTGACGCAACAAAGACCAGGCGAACAAGAAAAAACTCATTGTGATATCGATTAACAAACGGTCGGGAGACTTCTCCTGAGAAGTTCAGTCAGGCTCACTCAATGGCTGTTCACGTTAACAAGATATGATCACGGGAGATTTCGTACATGTTGATCTGTCGATCTATTCACAAACTTATGTACATGTTAGCCATACTTCGTCGGAAGTGTTCTGAATATTTCGCACATCAATTCGGGGCAACTTGTATCTGATGATGCAGTATGTTATCCTGCTTGACTAAACCATCTTTCTTGGGGGAGATGGAGCTAATGTATCTGTGATTCGATATCACTTCAATCAACCTCACCAAGTAATTTATGCTTTGTTTACCTCTGTTGCTACTGCCTTTGATATGCCCTGTTTCCTCATCGTTGAAATGTAGAGGTCATCTGTCAAGGACACGAGAAAGCTGATCAATACATTTTATCAAGGATTTAATATCAGACTGCATGATATTTGTTGTTCATGATGACGGTTGTCTTTGAGTATAGAATCCAGAGGTTAGCAGTGAATATTTCGAAGACAGTAGGGAAGGCTTGTTCAGGATAGCAGTGGATATCCCGGTAAAGTAGCAGAGCATAGTTTAATAGTTCTTCCTTCTGTTCTTTCGCCTGACAAGTTGACACTGGACATTCGGAGAGAGTAAACAAAATGGCCGTCTTTATACACGACGGATTGAAGATTTTATGTCTTCTGATTGGTTAACCTTCTATTGGTGGACAATAAAATGAGTCAAGTCATGTGGGCTAGCTCACTAGTAAACATATATACACAAAAAACTGCAACAATATTTGCTTGACAACTGTGATCTGTGTTTTGAGTTACACCTGAACCCTGCCATGAGCTCTAAACAAATGATATCTTAATTAGTCGGACCACACCTTGTCTTACCCGGCACATGTTACGCAGTAACGAGACCATGTCAGGAGTTGTGGCCAGTGTCATAGCGGTAAAATCGTGTGTCTTCTCCCCATACCTATTTAACCTGTACCGTAATACGATTCTGAGAGTATTAGAAATATTTCTGAGATTCATAATTGGCGATAACAACCTTAACAACATAAGATACGCAGATGACACAGTGTTGATAGCAGACACGGAAAGCAAACTTGTACAGGAGGTAGTAAAGGAAAGTTAGATGAAAGGACTAATGGTCAATTGCAAGAAGACAGAATGAATATTTATAAGCAAGCAGAACAGCCCAACATGCAAATTACAAATTGGAGATACCAAAGTCAAATAAGTACAACAATTTAAATATCCGGAAAGTGTTTAAACAGAGGACGGAAAAGGATATACTGAAATACGTCGTTGCATTGGAGTAGAGAAAGATGCCTTCCTAAAACTAAGCAAGGCATAAAGAAACAGGAAAATCTCGATAGAAACAGAAGAAGTATTATTGAACTGTTACGTATTATCAGTCCTCCTATATGGAATTGAATGCTGGACAATCTCTTTACGGATGAAGGAGAGATGTGAACCAACTGAAAAATGGTTCTACAGAAGCATGTTGAGAATACCATGGACCGAATATATGAGCAGCGACGAAGTTTTAGAGAAAATGGAAACGAAAAGTACATTTATACAGAACATTCGAAAGAATTGATGTTTCTAGATCACAATATAGAATATTTATTTTTTAAAAAACATTGTTGGTAATATTTTTTTTCAAAAATGTATTGCTAGTAATAGTTTTTTTTTTTCTTCAAACATTTATTGCTGGTAATAATTTTTTAAAGTATTTCTGGTATTAAAACCTATTTTTACACTTTCATAGTGTTTTTACTCCAGTTTTGGGGTTAACTATTTGCCCATAGCTGGGACCCTAACAGGTGCTACCACCCCGAGTCAGGGTGGACATGAGAACATCAGCAATTAAGAGGTGGTTCCACGCTCCTCAAAACCTCCTAATCAGAGGCCTTGCTGCTGGACAGTTTATCGTCTCACCCAGGACGCGGATGTAGTTTATCGCCATACGCAGGACAGTAAAACCAGTGATCAGCTATTGTGCTATGTACACAATGAGAAGAAACCAATATTATTTATTTCCGACACACACGCATTACCGTGAAGTTGTAGTAAATCTGCCCAAAATTTTGGAAATTGAAAGCACCATCCGTTGGGAAGCCACTAGCCTCTTTCGTTAGAAATTCGACTATTCATGTCATCTTGACACGATCAATCTAGTCGGTGCAACAGATGGCCGAGTAGATTAGATATAATTCTGGACATCAAGATACGACAGTGAGACGTCGAATTAACATCACATACTGCTTTCCCCATGACTTTTGGAACGTCAATATTTTCAAAGTGATTTATATTTGTTCCGTAAATTCATTAAAGTTTTTTTTAGGGGTTTCATTCATATTCCTCACCGTAGAAATTTTGCTACATTTTATTATTCATTTGATATTCTTTTTAGGCCATTTTTTCTTAATAAACTTAATTTCCTGGATATGTTTCTCTCTCTCTCTCTCTCTCTCTCTCTCTCTCTCTCTCTCTCTCTCTCTCCCGTAATCGTTTCGTATATTTTATATTCATCGTTTCAGAGTGGGGGGTTGCTGACTTTCTCCGTTACATAATTAATTCTAACGCGCGTGTTTCTTTTTTTCTGTAATGATCAGAGATATTGTTTCTTTTTTCAAGTTCTTCTGCAATAATTCATAGCTGTTTAATTGCAGAGTGTTTCTTTCTCAGCTACTTCCACGCTGCATTGTTGCCTCTTTCACGGATTTTTAATTTTAACCACAGATATTTCAATAGGGGTGTTCTCCAGCAAGTTTCACGGCGTCAAAGTGACAGCACATTTCGATGAATAGTTGCAGAAAAAAACAATACGGAGCATCTCCGCACAAAAGACAGAGAAACGTGAGGCTATAGATACGTGGTTCTACAGAAGGATGTTGTGAATAACATGGACTGAACATCTGAGTGACGACGTAGTTTTAGAGAAAATGGAAACAAAAAAAGATTCATATTTAACAGCAGGAAATAGATGTCTATATTTCTGAGATAAAGTATTATGTACGCTATTTACATTATTCGGAGTACTGTCCTCATCTTTGTCGCCATGTTTATCACAACGTTTCGGTCGTTTTACGCTCCGGCCTTCGGTGGGAATGTCGAACTGAACCCTTTATTTCGCTCAATGGGGTAGACTGTTCTAGTTCCACGTGCCATGTCTAATGGATGTCAGTTATTCCTGTTAATTCCCCTCTCAAAGTTCTCCACCGCCTTAACCAGGTATTGAACTCACACTCTTTGGGTCTTGTCACTGGATAAAGGCGTTATTTAGATCCAGTGACAGGAGCCAGTTGTGATAAACTTGGCGACAAAGATCAGGAAAATAGTCGTAATAATATAAATAGTGTACCAGAAATAGAGTCGAAATTTCTAGTGTCCATCATGAGGAAGGACTACCAGGAAAATATGAAACTCATTAAATAAATTGAAGGCAAGAGTAAAAGAGGAAAACAGCGTGTAGCCTACCTAATGAGTATGTGTAAATTGTTGTCAAAACATGGATTAAGAGATTGAGAAAAAAAGACAAAATTTACTAATAGCTAGAAAGAAGAGGAAGTTGTAGAGAACCATAACCGTCCATGAACTGAATGATAAGAAAAATCTTACATTCTGATATCTGGTCATAATTTACAAGACACATTGTTGTGGTGCCCTCCCTCTGAAGAGTCTATTTTGGACTCTTCCGCCTACTAAAAGATTAGTAGGAGAGATGACCTTGGGGATCAGTCGACCAGATTGTTCATCTCTCGAACTCTCTGCCTCGAGCAGAAAGGAACCCGGACGAAGCTTTACCGAAGGGCAAAGTTTCGTCCGGGGAGGTAGACAAGCCCTGAACCCGTTTATACAGGTTCTAAGGGAATATTTTGTACCACATACATCCCTCGTGGGGGGTGGGGGTGTTAAATATTAACAGTCGAATTGATTGTTCGTTACTATCGAACTCTCTGCCTTAACCAGAGAGGAACCGGGACAATGCTTTGCCGAAGCAAATAAATATATATAAATATAATGTTTGTCCGGGGATGTAGACAGGCCCTGAACCCGTTTATGCAGGTTCTAAGGGAATATTTTTGGCCGAGCCTACAGGCTCGGAGAATCCACGGTAAACTCGGCCTTGTGCAACATACATCCCTCGTGGCAGGGGGTTGTTAAATATTATCCGTCGAATAGATCTGCTGTAGCAGTGCTGGTCAAACTCTCTGCTTCCGGGCAGAGAGGATCCCCAGACGAGACTATGTCGAAGGGCAGAGTCTCGTTTCAGGAAACAGCTACCCAACCCCGTTTTATACGGGGTCTATGGGAAATGTTTCGCTGAGCCTACGGACTCGGATTGCTCCACATTAAACTCGGCCTTGTGCCATATCCTACCTTATGGGGAGGTTGGTAAATATAACTGTCGAATAGATTGAACGCTGGTTTAACCGACACACACTCGCTAGACGTGTAATACACTTCTGTTCTACCTACAGTTTAATATATGATATATCTGCAACACTTGTCTTGTTATTTCTTTAACCATTTACTTAATCGTCTAAGTTGTTGTTGGAAAGATTTGGAAGTTCCCAAATTTAGAGAAATAATGGCAATGCTTATGCAAAGTGGTAGTAACGCTTTATTGATAAACTCATGCCTATATCTCTTCAGATATATATTCAGAAAATAATACCAAAGATTTGCTTCCATATCACAAATTCACGACGTGACTCCATTTGAAAACTTTAATTTTAATGATGAATATGTAATCTGAAACAACTTGAGAATTATAATTGTCACAGAAAAATATGATGATTTCTACACGTACCTTAGATGTGGCACAAGGCCGAAAGCATGAGCAAACAGTAAGTATTCAACTCACTATTCAGTTGTAACTGATCTAACGAGACAAGCTTGCTAACCATTACAACACACCGAGGTGCCCTCTGTCCCAGAGAAGTATGTGTTAATTTAATGAGCAATAACCGTAATGAGATAAGGTCCAGCTAAAAAGGAAGCACAATAAACTTTCCCGGGATATTTTGTAGCGGGATTATGTATTTCCCACTCTCCACTTTTCCCACTCATGTAACGTTGCAAGCCATTCGCCTACCTATCACTATTTTCTTGGCAAATATTAAGATGAACACTACTTTCCAATTCTACTGAAGTGAGCGCTTGGACGGGATGCGAGAAATGCGCCTCGATTTGTCTCCGTCAACCGAAATGACCAGCGGGCCGGGCGTACACGACATGAACTGCGGACTGCAAACGACATGTTATCGACGAATACGGAACCAAGCAAAAGCAACGGACAACAAGAAGAATAACGCCCACGAATACGACAACAACTTCCACGGACATAACGGACACAACTTAGCGGCGACGACGAGTAATTCGACTAAGCCGGCTGTAGATTACCATAACGGGGGCGGCCAACTGGTACAACGCAAGCGCACTAGGTACGTCATGAAACCTGATGCTTCTGCAACTAAGATGTCTGCAGTGTCAGAGGCGGCGGCTGCTAATGCTGATGACCACGCGAACGTGTTCACTGCTACGTTGGGGAACAAACTCCTACTTGGATGCTTCCCAGAACACGACACTCTTCACGACTACAGGTCCAGTATTTATGTAACCTCCTTATCTGACTAACCACCTTACCTAACTTCCTTATCTGTCTAACCTCCTTTTCTGTCTAACCTCTTTATCTGTCTAACCTGCTTATCTGTCTAACCTCCTTTTCTGTCTAACCTCTTTATCTGTCTAACCTGCTTATCTGTCTAACCTCCTTATCTATCTTACCTCATTATCTATTTAACCTTCTTATCTATCTAACCTCTTTATCTTTCTAACCTCATTATCAGTCTAACCTCTTTATTTTTCTAACATTCTTATCTATCTTACCTCCTTTTTCTGTCTAACCTTCTTATCTATCTAACCTCTTTATCTTTCTAACCTCATTATCTGTCTAACATCTTTATTTTTCTAACATCCCTATCTATCTTAACTCCTTTTGTCTAACCTCCCTATCTATCTAAACTACTTATCTGTCTAACCTCTTTATCTGCCTCAACTTCTTATCTGTCTAACCTCATTATCTATTTAACCTTCTTATCTATCTAACCTCTTTATCTTTCTAACCCCATTATCTGTCTAACTGCCTTATCTTTCTAACATCGTTTATGTGAAAGAGAACGCAACAGACTTGTTTTGGATTACAAACTCTTCACCTTGTTTTCACTTTCTGTGGCGATAACAATGAAGTAATAACGGATTTGGAAAGATAAATTTTTACTATATATTAGTTTAAGTTCAATTCAGAAGCAAAGCGCTATATTTGCGATTAAATATCGATAAAAACCTGACCAGACGAAGGACCATCTATTTTCAAGCGATGTTGAAAGTGTAATATTTGGTCTTTGTTCATTTGCCTGGTAACGAACAGAAACAATAAAAAAAAAATAAAGTCCTTTGCTGGTATTTTCGAATCATTCTAGAGAGTTTCTTCATTTCTCAAGTTTAGAAAAATATATTTTGATAAGCTCCATTTCCATCTACAAATTTCTGAAGCGAAATTTCGAAAACTTTTCTGTTCGCTATACGTTGATTTATTCTCTAAATGTCAACAGGCATCTCTCCCTGATTCAATTTTTACCATGATAGGCACCTATGTATATCTAGCTTGGTAGCAATAAATGATGTATTGTTTTGCGTCTGAAAAGTAAATATAAAAATGTCTTCATTCCTAGGTTGAATAGTGAATACTTCTTTTATGTCGCAGGTTGTTGTTTGATTGCAATTTCGTTGTAAAAAAGATTTATTAATAATATAGGAAAACACATTTGCATCAAATAGAATCGTTTACTGTTGAAAGAAAAACATGAGTTATATATGCATACATTACTCCCTATATTTCATACGTGAAAGCAAGGATGATGATAGATAGATATGAATAAAATAAGACAAATCCGCATGAATAAAAGGAGATAGATAGATAGATCAGAATATAATGAAATAGATAGATAGATAGATAGATAGATAGATAGATAGATAGATAGATAGAACCGAATATCATGAGATAGATAGATAGATAGATAGATAGATAGATAGATAGATAGATAGATGTTGAGCAAACAATAGCGCTGAAAATGCATTTCCAATGAAGATAGAAACAAAAACAAGTAATGGATGCAATAGTCGCTCTTTTCTCCTTTGGCACATAATCTCGTAAACTGTTTCGTGTCATTGTCTTTTTCTGACACTGCTAAACGAATCTTGGAATGTTTTCAACAAAATCATCATACAGAATTCTAAGAATTTCCTCGATAGAAATTACAGTGTTACTATTGAATTCCTTCTGCTAAAGTATCGATGCCCGTTGCATCTATTCGGTGTGAATGAACTCTGCGAAATTACTTTTGATTTCTGCATTAGATTCATTGTCTTCAAATACATGAATAATCTATTCATGCCTACAGACAAAGAACGATTTTTTTCCAAATAAGAAATTATCAATATTATAGTCCGCATTTCCACTGCCTCTATTTGATATTTATACTCACAAAGTTCTGTAGACTCCGACATTTGAAATATTGTTATTATAAAAAGAACATAGATGGCCAATCTTATCCGAGGACGCCCGTCTACAAGAGCGTCTAGCCAATCCCTGCTATAGGCACTTACGCAGGCACATTTTCTGTTTTTTGAACTATACTGTGCAGGCTTTAGTCACAATTTCTAGGAGAGATCCTATTATCTAGCGTGATCAATTTGAACTCGTATACTTGATTTCAATTTTTGCGGCGATAACAATTAAGTAATTACATATTTATACAGAAAAAAAATTACTGTATATTTGTTTAATTTCAATTCAGAAGCAAGGCGCTATATTTGAGATTAAATATCGATAAACACCTAACAGGACGAAGGACAATCTGTTTTAAGCGATGTTGAAAATCGATTTTATCTTTGTTCATTCTAACGAACAGAAACAATAAAAAAATAATGAAACAGTTATTTGCTGATTGTTTCGAATCATTGTAGAGTGTATTTTTTTATTTCTCAGCTTTCAAAAAATGTATTTTGATAATCTCCATTTTGATCTTTGTCTCAAATAAAATTTCCAAAACTTTTACTTTACCTGTGGTTTGTATTGTAACTATGCTGTGTGGGCCATTGGTACAATTTCTGGAAGAGAGCGTATTATCTAGCGCGTTCAACAATCTGAACAAGGCTCAGTCCCTCACTCACGATGACATGTGATTTCGTGTTTGCACATCAATCGACGGCTTCCCAAAGTGTACCGTCTTCCCAATTTCATTAACAAGGCTTGCTAACGCTAGACCAATACAAGGCTAACAACCCTAGACCGATACAAGGCTAACAAATCTAGACCAATAAAATGCTAACAATCCTAGACCAATACAAGGTCAACAACACTAGACTGATACAAGGCTAACAACCCTAGACCAATACAGGGCTAACAACACTAGACCGATACCAGGCTAACAACTACAGACCAATACCAGGCTAAAAACAACAGACTGATACAAGCCTAACAACTCTCGACTCATACCAGTCTAACAACCCTAGACCAATTCAAGGCTAACAAACTTAGACTGATACAAGGCTAACAAACCTAGACTGATACGAGGCTAACAACACTAGTCCAATACAAGGTTAACAATCCTAGACATATACAAGGCTAACAACCATAGACCAATACAACGCTAATAACCCTAGACCAATACAAGGCTAAAAAATTTTGACCAGTACAAGGCTAACAACTCTAGACCAACACAACGCTAACGAGCCTAAACGATAAAAGGCTAACAAACCTTGACCAATACATGGCTAAAAACTCTAGGCCAATATAAGGCTTATAAACCTAGACCTATACAAGACTAACAACCCTAGACTGAGACAAGGCTAACAACCCTAGAACAATACAAGGCTAGCAACCCTAGACCAATACAAGGCTAACAACACTATACCGATTCAAGGCTAACAAACCTAGACCAATACAAGGTTAACAAATCTAGACCAATATAAGTCTAACAACCATGGACAGATACAAGGGTAACAACCCTAGGCCAATACAAGTTTAACAACCCTAGACCAATACAAGCCTAAAAGACCCTAGACCGATACAAGGCTAACAAAATTAGACCAATACAAGTTTAACAACCCTAGACCAATACAAGGCTAACAACGCTAGACTGATACAAGGCTAACAACCCTAGACCAATACAAGGTTAACAATCCTAGACCTATACAAGTTTAACAACCCTAGACCAATACAATGCTAATAACCCTGGACCGATAAAAGGCTAACAGATTTAGACCAATACAAGGCTAACATCCCTAGACCAATACAAGGCTAACGACCCTAGGCCGATACAAGGCTAACAACCCTAAACCGATACAAGGCTAACAACCTTAGAGCAATACAAGGCTAACAAACTCAGACCCATACAAGGCTAACAACCCTAAACCGATACAAGGATAACAACTTTAGACCAATACACGGCTAACAAACTTAGACCGATAAAATTTTAACAACCTTAGACCAATACAAGGCTAACAACCCTGGACCGATACAAGGCTAAAAAACTTAGACCAATACAAGTTTAACAACCCTAGACCAATACAAGGCTAACAACCCTAGACCCATACAAAGCTAACAAACCTAGGCCAATAAAAAGCTAACAACCCTAGACTGAGACACGGCTAACAAACTTAGACTGATACAAGTTTAACAACCCTAGAACAGTACAAGACTAACAACCCTAGACTGATACAAGGCTAACAACCCTAGAACTATAACATCAAGAAGTTACTTTCCTGACTATCGCCCCTGGTGAGATTCGAACCCGTGACTCATAGTTAGCGAACTTTATAACCATTCAGCCCATAATTATGTCTATCATAAAGACACCAAGTTATCAGATAAGTCCGTTTAGAAATATAATAATATCTCCCCTAAAATAATATAATTATTAAAAAATAGCAAATTCTGCTGTGATTTTGTCCATAAATAAGTTGATGCTAATTGAACCGTGAACTTTCCTCTCTGGTACCTCGTTGAGGAGAGTTCTTTTTTCGACTGTGTACGACCGGTGTTTGACGCCAGACGCATTTGCGAGTTTTTTGCGAACAATTTTGATTTCAACCCTTTGTCCACGTTAAGTTCTTTTTTATTTTATTTTACGTTCAGTTTATTGACTTTTTTTGCCAAAAGTTTGATTTGCCAAAAGTTTGATTTGATTTTTTCTTTCTTTTCCCTCCCCTCTATTTTTTTTTATACTTTATCCCTTGTTGTTTTCTTTATTATTAATTTTCTTTTTTTTAATACGTATTTTTCAGTTTTAATTTTTTCCTTTTCAGTAACTTCCCCACACCAAACTTTATTTTTTCATTGTTTATTTCTTTGCCCCTCGTAAGACTTCGTTTTTTCTTTGTTTACATTTTTTTTTCTACGTGTTTTCAGTGTTTCTTTCTCGTTGCAAATAACTGTTATTTATTCTGTATTCCTTTATTTAAGTCTTTTCTGTGTAAATTTTTGTATTTATTTACCGCATTTATTTTTCTATTCGTTAGTTCTTCTTTATTTTAGTTTACGTATTTTCGTTCGTGTTTGGGCTGACTAGTTTTTTCTAGTGGCAGCCATATTGTATTTGTGAAGTCGTTTGGCATTTTTTGTTTCGTATTTTTTTTTAAAAAAAAGATACCTTTTGTTTATATTCCGTTTTAAAATGTGATTTTCATTTCCGTACTCGTTGTTTTTGTAATTTGTTAGCCGTTTTTATTTTGAACGTATTTTTGTCGTTTTAGCGTACGTGTTTCTGTTACTTTTTACGTCTTTAACTGTTCTGTCTTGTTAAAATTCTTTTTGTTATTGTGATTTTTACGTGTTTGTCTT